ATTAGAAAATGGTAAAGTGAATAGGCCTAGTGATTTTCCCTTTCTTTTTAAGATTTGTTTATTTATTTAAAATCAGGGTTACAGAGAGAAAGAGAAGAGAGAGACAGGGAGAGAAAAAGACAATTTCCATCAGCTGGTTCACTCCCCATATGGCTGCAATGGCTGGGGCTGTACCAGGTTGAAGCCAGGAGCCTGGAACTCCATCCAGGTCTCTCATAAAGATGTCAGGGGCCCAAGTACTTCACTCACTTTCTGCAGCTTTCCCAGGAGCATTAGCAGGGAAACGCATCAGAAGCAAAGCAGCCGGGACTTGAACTGATGCTCGTATGAGATACTAGTGCTGCAGGCTGTGGATTAACCTGCTGGGGGACAACACCAGCCCCTGCCAGATGATTTTCAGAAGAGGCTTTAGTAAGTATAAAGTATTCAAAGCTGTTTTAAAAAGTCTTTATTTACGGGGCTGGCACTGGGGCATAGCAGGTAAAGCCACCACCTGCGGTGCCGGCATCCCCTATGGGTGCCAGTTCTAGTCTCGGTGCTTCACTTCTGATCCAGCTCTCTGCTATGCCCTGGGAAAGTAGTAGAAGATGGCCCAAGTCCTTGGGCCCCTGCACCCATGTGGGAGACCCAGAAGAAACTCCTAGATCCTGGCTTCAGATCAGTCCGGCTCCAGCCATTGCAGCCAAGTGGGGAATGAACCTGTGGAGGGAAGATCTCTCTCTCTCTCTCTCTCTCTGCCTCTCCTTCTCTCTCTGTTTAACTCCAACTTTCAAATAAATAAGTAAATCTTTAAAAAAGTACTATTCTTGGGGCTGGCGCTGTGGTGCAGTGGGTTAACGCCCTGGTCTGAAGCACGGGCATCCCTTATGGGCACCGGTTCTAGTCCCGGCTGCTCCTCTCCCAATCCAGCTCTCTGCTATGGCCTAGAAAAGCAGTGGAAGATGGCCCATGTGCTTGAGCCCCTGCACCCACGTGGGAGACCCAGAAGAAGCTCCTGGCTCCTGGCTTCAGATCAGCGCAGCTCTGGCTGTTGCAACCATCTGGGGAGTGAACCATCGGATGGAAGACTTCTCTCTCTCTCTCTCTCTCTCTCTCTGCCTCTCCTCTCTCTGTGTAACACTGACTTTCAAATAAATAAATAAAAATCTTAAAAAAAGTACTATTCGTTAAAAAAGCATTTAATGTGATCAATGTATATAATATATATGTCAATATATAAAATATAATATACAAAGATATATTTATATATAATAAGCACATTGTGAGAAGACACTACATCTGTAACTCGCTGCAGTATATTCACTATCATAAACAATTTTCAAACTAAGCCAGTATACATTTAAGCAGGTATTAATTTTCTCTGTAAAGCTACAAAAGTAATAAATGCATATGATACAACAATTCCAATACTGAGTATGTATGTATAAATATATATAGGTATATATATATATGTAATCTTCATATATGTTTATTCATATATATATGAATGGGAAATGAAATCCATCTCTCAAAGTGACATCTGCACTCCTATCTTTATTGCAGCACTGTTCACAATAGCCAAGAAATGCAAATAGCTTATAAGTCCATCCATTGATGACTAAAGAAAGAAAATATGGCATATCAACACTATGAGATACTTAGCCATGAAAAGGCTGAAATCTTGTCATTTGCAATGGCATGGATGGATCTGGAGGGTCCTTATATTAAGAGATATAAGCCAAGCCAAGAATGACAAGTATCACAGTATCTCACTACTATGTAGAGTCTAAAATATATGAGCTCGCAGAAATTATAAATATAATGAAGCTAATCAGAGACTGGGAGAGCAGAAGGGAGGAATGGAAAAGGCTGATTAATATGTCCTGAATTATAGTTGGATAGGAATAAAAAATTTGTGTGTTTAATTATACATAGCATGATGATAGATAACATTAACAGATAACATTTATATATATATATACATACATATATTTTATTATATATATAAAATCCAGTTAAGATTTAGGATTTTTGGAGGCTTTAACTATAAGCAAGTGTTAAACATTTGAAAAGATATATATACTCATCCTGCTTGTATTCATGTACAAAAATCTCACATAGTTCCCATAATTACGTATATATTTGTATGCTAGTTAAAATTTTAAAAAAATTAAAAATTAAAACAAAAAAAACTCTATTGCTGATGTAAACAAATATCTGTAACCAACTGATCTTACCGTATCTCTGAAAACATCTTTCCCAAGAGTGCTCTGATTATTTGCAGCATTTATAACTTGTTTCTAGGCTATCCAGGTAAACTGTGAAGTATTTGAGAGTATAGCATAATTCTGTTATATTGTCTACTGGTCTTGGTTCATGTTAGATATCTCATACTTATTTATTATACAAACTATTTTCAGATAACTGTAAAAATTTCAAAAACTGTGGAAACTGAGTTTTTTCCCCTCAATTTTTGGCACTTGTTTTCCCTTTACAGGATAATTACTGCTTCAGAAGTAAAAAGAAAGAAATTATACACTAATACTTTACATGCCTACACTAAGAGGTTGTGGTTTTTAAAGAATTAAAGAAAGGTTAGAGCATGGAGGGAGGGTAGGGAGGGGAGTATTACTAAGTTCCTAAATTGATATATATGAAATGTATGAAACTTGCATAACTTAAATAAAATTTAAAATTTAGTGAAAAAAATTTGCGATCACTAGAAAGCTCAAATTATAGGCTTACTGTTTGGGATACAGACACTACATCTCCCAATTGTGAAAGAATTCATTAGGTAGTGTGATAAAATAATGTGAAATTTAAAATAAGCAAACTATTTACCATGAGGGGAAACAAACTTCTCAATACTATGTAGATAGCTATGTTAGCTCTTTTTTGGAATATTTATTTATTTATTTGAAAGAGTTACAGAGAGAGAGGAGAGGCAGAGAGAGAGGTCTTCCATCTGATGGTAGACTTCCCAATTGGCCGCAAAGGCCGGAGCTGCGCCAATCCGAAGCCAGGAGCCAGGAGATTCTTCCAGGTCTCCCACGTGGGTGCGGGGGTCCAAGGACCTGGGCCATCTTCTACTGCTTTCCCAGGCCATAGCAGAGAGCTGGATCAGAAGTGAAGCAACCGGGTCTTGAACCGGCGCCCATATAGGATGTTGGCGGTTCAGACCAGGGCATTAACACACTGCACCACAGCACCAGTCTCAATATGTTAGCTCTTAAAACTGTATATATGAAATACATGAAATCAGTTCCCTTTATATAGATAAAACAAACTTTGAAAAGAAAGAAATGCATAGTTTATTTCCTAGACTGCATTCATCGTGGCACTCAAACTAAAAATCACTGTTTTTCAAGATGAAATAAGGAGTATAATGAAATGGACATGTAATTGCTTAGAGACATCCTTATTGCTTTATTGTGCAGGTTTATGACTTCTTGGAGTGTCCTGTGTGAGTGAATGTCATCAGCTTCTAACTGACCTAAAATCTTCGCTTTTCTGTTGCACTTTGAGTTTGTTAGATTATTTTACCTTTTTATTTCATCATTATATTTTTTTCAAGACAAGTTTCCCTGATTTGATAAGCATACTAGGTCAGGTCCAAAGTACAAGAAGTCAGGCTAGTCAATATCCATTGAAAACAAGACTTACCTAGAACTTCACTGTAAAATCGATCCCATTTCTTCTCATTAAAAGTTTGGAACCAAAAGTCAAAATAAAGCACATACAACATATTCTTTACCCTCTCCATGAATGTCATTTTATCAGTTAATTGTGACATAATAACAGGAACGTAGGAAGGGGGAAACAGAAGTCCTCCACTATACTTTTCATAAGTGTAGCCAGGAAAGACACGGTGCGTGTACAAAAAGGGAACTTCAAGTAGCTCAGCCAGCAGCTCACCACAGGGACACAGGGCATCTGCAAGAATGACATCAAACCTCGATTCTTTCAATTTTGTCACAAGTGTCTTGTTCAAAACTGCATCTCTACAGATATTTTCAGAAAAATCGGATTCTTCCATTGACATTTCTTGAAGTTTTGAAAAATATTTCCAAAATGGATACTTAGGCAATTCCAGAACGAAGTTCATGAGTTCTTCTGTGAAAACCATCTCATACTCATCTTTGGATATTGATGTAGGAAAAATCTCAAATTTAATACCAAGAGATTTGTTGGAATCAAGTAGAACAGAAACTGAAGGTTTGAGAACAGTCACCTCATGTCCCCTCTGGGCGAGTTCATCCAGGATGGTCTTTATATTGATCCAATGACTGTAATCCACTGGCCACACCAGCACCTTTCCACATCTCCCAGAGCTGAAGTAACAGCTCAGCTGTAGCAACAGAAGAACCGAAATCCACTTCGTAGACATCCTGGTTAAAGGCAAATGTGCCTTTCAAACTCTTGCTGCCTCTGCTCTTGGATATACGCAAGGAGAACTATCATGTAGTTAAAATATAACTCGTCCGGGTTAAAGTATTCACACATATGAACAATCAGAGTACCTGTATGACAAATAGAAAAAAAGCATTTGGCCTCATAGTTTAATGGGTGTGTGTAATGACAGTTTTATTATTACAAGTGGGTTCATGGAGTTAAGAGTTGATGACCTAGCAGGTACATTTCAATTATGTAAAATTTTAAAAAATAGTTTCAATAACAATGATACATTGCTTGTGTCTATAATCCTGTTGGCACAGAACTAGAAATAAAATAATAATGCACCTGAATCAACATGCCCAGGATATGTTCAAAGGCTTCTCTTTTTTGAAAATCTTTTGTTGACATATTAGTCATAAACCATAAAAGTCACTTATTCTCACGATATAATTCAATAGTTTGTAGCGCATTCTCAAATTTTTTAAAGTCACCACAGCAATCAGTATTACAGCATTTTGGCAACCCCCAAAATAAATATTAGCCAGTTCCCATTGCCTGTACTAGCAACAGTCCATTTATTTCTTATCTGTATAGATTTTCTTGTTTGGGGTATTTCACATAAATAGAACCATACAATGTGTGGCTCTTTTTGATTGGCTAAGTTATTAAGATGATAATGTTTTAGAGGCTCATGTATATTCTAGCGTGTATCTGTATTTCATTCTCTCCTATAGTCAGATAATATTTGAGATCATGGTTATATAACATTTTGTTATTCATTCCAAGTTGATGATTATTTGTCTTTTCTGGTTTTTTTTGGCTATTTTGAATAATGTCTGTTTTAACACTTATGACCTACTTTGGTGTGGGCATGTTCTCAGTATTTGTGAAACAAGAAGTGGAATTTCTGAGTCAGATGGTAAGTATATTTAACTTTTGAAGAACTGAACTTTTTACAAGGTGGTTGTGCTACTTTCCATTCTATAATGTATGAGATTGTCAGTTTCTCCACATACTGGACATGTCTTATTTCCTGTTTTTTTTTTTTTATTATAGCCATGCTAGTTAGGGTAAAGTAGTATGTCTTTGTGGTTTTGGCTTAATACTTGATGATATCAAATATTTTATGTGTTTTTGGCCATATGAATATCTTACTTGGAAAGATGACTCTTCAGATCCTTTGGTCATATTATGATTGGATTATTTTTACTCATACTGAAATTTTATCTTTCTTTGTATATTCATGATCCAAATCTACTATCAGATATATGATTTGCAAATATATTGTTCACATTTGAAGCCTGTCTATTCACTTTCGTTCTTTCCTTTCCCTCTTCAATATTTTTTTTAATTTTAATTTAATTTTATTTTTTGACAGGCAGAGTTAGACAGTGAGAGAGAGAGAGACAGAGAGAAAGGTCTTCCTTTTTCCCTTGGCTCAGCCCCCAAGTGGCTGCTACGGCCAGCGTGCTTCGCCGATCTGAAGCCAGGAGCCAGGTGCTTCCTCCTGGTCTCTCATGTGGGTGCAGGGCCCAAGCACTTGGGCCATCCTCCACTGCACTCTTGGGCCACAGCAGAGAGCTGGACTGGAAAAGGAGCAACCAGGAGGGAATCCGGTGCCCCAACCGGGACTAGAACCCCGGGATGCCAGCGCCACAGGCGGAGGATTAGCCTAGTGAGCCGTGACACCTGCCCCCTCTTCAATATTAATACCTAAAATTTTATATATTATGGGGTACAATTTGCAATTGAGATATATATATTTAAATATATATTGATTAAATACTTATAGCATATCGATAATCTCATTCATTTACTATTTCTTTGGAGTGAGAACATGAAAATAGCCATTTTCTATGTTGACATAAACAATAACTTATTGTTAACTCCAGTCATGCTATAGTTCTAGAGGACTTGAGGGTTTTTTTTCCTATTGTGCAAGAGAACACCAGAGTTTACTTTTCTTATCTAACTGTCACTTTGTACCCATTGCTCCACCCTTCTGATCCTCCCCTCCTCTATTGTCTCAGTAGTCTGTGGTGGTATCAGTTCTATTCTCTACTTCTTTAAATCAACTTTTTTTTTTTTTAGATTCCATATCAACTTAGGTCATACAATATCTTTCTGTGTCTGATTCATTTTATTTAATGTAACATCTTCAGGTTTTCATATGCTGTCAAGTGATAGTATTTATTTTCTATCTTTTCTCTTTTTTTCCTCCCTCCTCCCTCCCTCCCTCCTTCCCCCTTCCCCTTTCCTCTCTCCCTCCCTTCCTTCCTTCCCTGTATTTCTTCTCCTTCTCCTCCTTCTTCTTGCTGAATAGTATGCCATTGTTTACATGTATTGCTTTTTCATTATATACACTTTCAATATTGGGCATTTAGAACAATTCAAAACCTTGACTGCTGAGTAATTCTGTACTAAACATGGAAGTGCAGCCATATTTTTGATGTACTGATTTCATTTCCTTTGGGTGTATACTCAAAATGTATATTGTTGGAATATATACAATTTTTCTATTTTTAAACTTTTGACGGACCTATGTTTTCATAGATTTTCCTATGATTAACATGATTTCCATAATGATTAAACTAATGTTCTTTCTTTTGTGTATGTGTTCCCATTTTCTTCACATTCACACAAAGACTGGCTCTCATTTGTCTTTTTGATAATAGTCATTCTAATAATTAATGATGCTGATGATTTTTTCAGATGCCTGTTAGCCACCCAGCTATCCCACTTGGTATCAAGGGTCTGTAGGTGGTGTGTTGTAGCAGGATCCCAAGGGGAAGAGAGCAAAGTGTGGGCTAAGTTTTTTAGACATGGCAATGTAGTGTTATGGATCATCTGGCACTACACCAAGCTAGACTCAGATCTTGTGATGGCTACAGATTATTTCAGAAGAAATTCCTTTAGGTACTTGTTGCATTTGTGGGGAGTGCTTAGGAGTTCTTTTCACCTTTTTCCCACTGAGGAAAATTCCTCCTGCCTGGATGTTGATCTCTTGAAAGACAGGACAGTGTATGTTTTGATTAATTCCCTCTTTTATAAGACCATAATTTGTTTCCATGTTCTGTGACCTCTCAGCCATTCTCCCACTGCACCCTGCACTCTGGTTTAATTACTGAGCTTCTCAAGATGGGCTGCGGGGGTGTTTATGGAAGCTATCGGAGAGTGAGCAAGGCTGTTTGTGTACCTCACAGAAGCTTAACATTGTAAACCACTTCTGGTTGACTGCATGGTTACTTTGCAGATCCATGGGAGGGTGCCCATTTTCACCTGTGTGTCTCATAGGGTCAAGGCATGTCAATGCTGGTGACAGCCACTTTCAAAGCAATTCTCAGAAACTGAAGATCATTTATAAATGAGGTAGAATACCAGTAGTGGTTCCTTTGATTTGGTCCTTTGTTGTTCAGGGAATGTACCATGGACCTCTTGCTAGATATGTTGTTCAAGTTTACCCTTACATGGCATTTCTCTGATGTTTAAACATTTTCTTTTATGACTCTACTGTCTAATATATGCAGATATTACAGATAAATTCTAGGGGAAAATCTTTCCTAACCTCTTCTGGAATGGTGAGAACATCCATGAACTAGGTCCCAAGTGAAACAAGAACACCTGGTGAAAATTAATTTTAAATGCTTGGTTATTTGTAACTTATTTAAAAGAAAGATAAAGAGTGGGAGTGACATTAAAATCTTCCAAAACACTCTCATCCCAGGTGATATGAACATGTGCTAGTCTCTCCACTCAGAGTAGAAACATCTAAGAATTAACATGTCGAGGGAAAGAGACTTCACCAAGTCTAATACACACTGAACAAATAACTAACAAATACAGTTCATGAAGTTAATACATCCAGTATCCAGAGTTGCTGTCATCTGTTATTTAAAAAGTACAAAATTATCAAACCAGTAAAAATTTTAGAATCCATGTGAAAAAAACAGAAAAGTATGATGGGATGAGTTGGGCTTCACAGGCTGATCAGATATCAAGGATGGCAGACTCTTTTTTTAATATTTATTTATTTGAAAGGGAGAGTGCATGAGAAAGATACATACACACACATGCACATGCACACACACACACAGAGAGAGACAGAGAGAGAGAGAGAGAGAGAGAGACAGAGAGAGAGAGAGAGAGAGAGAGAGAGAGATCTTCTACCAGCTTATTTATTCCCCCAAATGATTTTCAATGCTTAGGGTTGGGTCAGGATGAAGCCAGGAGCCAGGCACTCCATTCAGGTCTCCCACATGGTGGCAGGAGTGTAAGTATTTGGGCCTTCTCCTGCTTTCTCGGGTACATTAGCTGAGAGCTGTATTTGTGGTGCTCCGATATTGGATACTGGCATCAGTGGTGGAAGCTTAACCTACTGCACCACAACACTAATACTGAGCATGGCAGATTTTCGTTAAAATAATTTATCAGGATTCTAATTGGGCAAAATTGCACTTAAATTGGACAATGCAGACAGGAATGCTGATACCCAATGCAGATGGGAGCTATTTGAGAAAAAGTCATAGTTGTTTGGTCAAGGAAAAATCTTCACCACTAGTATAGAATAGCTGTATTTCATCTATTGTGTAAATACTCACATGCACAAACACATATATGCACACTAGAACATTGAACATAATAAAAAAATTGATCCCATTTATTGATATCATATATCTCCTTCCAAAAAAAACTAAATGAGCAGGTCTTTTAAGAAATAACCACTACTGAAGACAGTAAGGAAAATATAAAATAGATTTATAATATTATAATAATAGAATATAGTAGTGGATCTTCTGGATGTTTATGCAAAATAATTGACTGTAGGACCTTGAAGACATGTTTGTATAGGCATGATTTTAGCAACACTCTTTTTTTATGTTTTATTCATATATTAGAAAGGGAGAGTAACACAGATGCAGAGAGAGACAGAGATAGGCAGAGAGAGAGGGAGAGAGAGATCTGCCATCTACCAGTTCAAATGCCCACAGCAGCCAGAGATACACTATAGCAAGAACATAAATAGGTCTCAGTAAATTTAAGTAGTTGAGGCCGGCGCCATGGCTCAATAGGCTAATCCTCTGCCTTGCGGCGCCAGCACACTGGGTTCTAGTCCCGGTCGGGGCGCCGGATTCTGTCCTGGTTGCCCCTCTTCCAGGCCAGCTCTCTGGTGTGGCCAGGGAGTGCAGTGGAGGATGGCCCAAGTGCTTGGGCCCTGCACCCGCATGGGAGACCAGGAGAAGCACCTGGCTCCTGGCTTCGGATCAGCGTGATGCGCTGGCCACAGCGCAACGGCCGCGGCAGCCATTGGAGGGTGAACCAACGGCAAAAGAAAGACCTTTCTCTCTGTCTCTCTCACTGTCCACTCTGCCTGTCAAAAGAAAAATTTAAATAGTTGATATCATATAAAGTTCTACGGTCATAATGGAATGACAATGAAAAGAGTTTTGGAAGATTCAAAATTCAATCAAAATTTAGTAACATACTTCAAAGGAATAAATGAGTCAAAAAAATCATCAAAAGGGCTATTAAACCGTTTAATGGTGGGCTGGTGTCATGACACAGTGGGTAAAGCCACTGCCTGTGATGCCAGCATCTTATATGTGTGCTGGTTTGTGTTCCGGATGCTCCATTTCTGGTCTTGCTCCCTGCCAATGGCCTGAGAAAATCAGCAAAAGATAATCCACATGCTTGGGCCCTTGCCACCCATGTGGGAGACCTGGATAAATCTCCCAGTTCCTGGCTTCAGCCTGCCTCACCCTTGGCTATTGAGGCCATCTGGGTAGTGAAACAGCAGTTGGAAGATCTCTCTCTCTCTCTCATTCTGTGTGAGTATGTGTATGTGTCTGTGTGTACTTCTGACTTTCAAACAAGTAAACAAATTAAAAAAGAAAAAACAATAAGGTCTGGTATGTAGGATGA